GCTGATGGGGGTACACTGCAGTACAGTCTGAAAACAGCAAGCGTGCTACTGAAGTGTTTGGTTTTGCACGATTCATGTTCACTTAGCTTCCCCTCCAATCGATCGTCGCGTCTCTAGAGCCCCGCGAGTTGTGTGGTATGTTGAATCGTGGTTTGACCGTATTGTCCAATAGTCTTGCCGGTACCTATTGCCTTCGACATGCCTGTACATCCGTCAACGTCTTTCACAGCTGAGACTGTTAGCTGTGAAGGGCCCACACACAACGTTGATAAACAAGACTTGTTCAACTGTGTGAAGAAGCAGCGCATCTGAGTGTTGGCCAGTGTGGCCACAATACAAGTTGCTGGTCCCTTTGTTCCTATAGATTAATCATTGGCTCTCCGTCCGAGTCTACCCAGGCTACCAGTTGTGTGACATAAAATCATCTTGTCTTTTCTTTTTTGAATTCTTTATTCTCACGATGGCACCATCTTGTTGATGTTGTTGTGCCGCTGTGTCCAGGCGATTTCTTCCGCAAGCTGTATGGTCCGTACGCCGGCTGGGCACACTCTGTAAGTACACGTCTTCACTCGCATCCACTGTGCACTATCCTATCAAGCAGGGGCGGGTCCAGGTGGGGTTCCAGGGGTTCCGTAAAACCCCCTAAATTTCTAAATTTCGTAAATGTACTACTGGCAATCATATGCATGTCCGTACAAGTACATGTATCAGCTATTCAGTTTTGACTATACTGGAACCCCCATGTAGAGATTGCTGGATCCACCGTTGTTAAGTGTGGTCAAGTTATGCTGGTAAAAAATAAGCATTTTTTAAAAAGGTAATGAGAATGGGATAAACTTCAAACTCAAGGTAAACAGTCGGGGAAGTGAACTGCCAGAAAAGCGAGAAAAAGAAAAAAATGCCGATCCCATCAGGACTCGAACCTGGGACCGTGATTGCCGTGAGCTATGCTCTAACCATCTTTTTTTATATGTTACATACGCGTACTTCCTTCCTGAAGCTGCTGCTTCGGTGGTATGCTCACATCTCGCTTACTGTAAGCCAGCAAATATTCGGCGCATATTTATTTTCGGCTATTTTCAGCCTGGTCATGTTTGGCCGAAAATTTGTTGTGGCCGAAATTTTGTTTTGCGAGGTTCAGTGTGACAGTGTATACAGGCGGCAGCAGTACAGGCCGGAAAATTGATGCGGCCGAAAGGGGTTTTAGCCCTGGGAGGCCGAAATTTGAATGGGCCGACAATTTGTAGACTTTCAGTATCTGGGCAGTGCAGAACCGGGCGCTCCCCATAACTTGGGAAATGTCCGTAACGCTGAACGATGTACGGTTTTGACAGGGACGGGTCACTATTTCAACAACACTTGCCGAAAGAGTCAGGCCCGTCGCACTGGCTTTGGAGGTGGGGCGGCGGTGGAAGGGGGGTCCGGGGGTTGTCCCCGCGGGAAAATTATCAAAAATTGAAGCCAATTGCAAGCCTTTCCGGGCATTTGGTGCCATTTCAGTGTAACTACAATGAAAGACTTTTTGATTCTGCAACAAACCAAGAAGACGCTACGATTGGGGACATAGGTTCTTCATTATCTTCCCACGGGAAAAAAGAATTCAAAAATTGAAACCAATTTGCAAGCATTTCCAGGCATTTGGTGCCATTTCAGTGTGTTGTGAGTGCAATGAAAGACTGTTTTGATTCTGCAATAAACCACGATCGGGGACAAGGATTCTTCATTATTTGCCACGTTTGGGCTGAGCTGCGATCATGGAGTGTGGTCCAAAAAAAAAAAGAAAAACGGCCGAAAAAGTGACGGCCTTGAGAGTAGTAATATTTCCACTACAACTCACCCACAGGGTGCCCGGTAGACCGAGGTGGCCAAAACTTGGAGGTGTGCTAAAAAGAGATACAGTCAACCGCTTAGGGGGCCATGTGTACCCGCCATATCATCCACAAAATTATGAACGGCTGTCGTATATGTTGCAGGTTGTTGAGTGTCTCAGTACTCCTTGTCAGTATTGTGCCATTTTGTCGAACTCGCTGACTGTATATGATCTGGTTACCCTGGTGGACAGTAAAGCTGTGTTCCCAACTGGCGCGTGGACGTGGTACGCTTGCGTTTCATGCGTGCCCAAACGCGCGCTCAGGCTTTCACAAAAAAGAGCAATCCGAGTCGTATTTAGCGCGTGCGACACCTTCGAGTACTAATGTTTTGACCCCGCCAGTCAAAGTAACTGGCATGTACGCTGATACGCGCCTGATACGCGCTGAAAATTCCAACATGTTGGAATTTCCATTTTGGTGCGTTTCCGTATGCATGACGCCCCAAAAGCCAGCAAAAATACGCACAAACGCGTGGTTTCAAGCGTACGCGCGCCAGTTGTGAGCACAGCTTTAGTCCTAACTCATCACATTTTCTCCATCCGAGTCCATTCATCACATTTTGTCCTTCTTTTATCATTGCTTTTACTATGATGGTCAAATTAACGGTGATGAGTTAACAGTGATAAACGAGGTAGATGTCTGTATTTTTGCAGCTTATACTCCGGAAAATACGGTAATCAAACAACTGCTTCCGCCAGCCCTGCATTGCTTTCCATTTTTCTGTCCTATCAGGTGCTCTTCAGTGCAGAGTTGCGTAAGTTTGGAGGTGGAAAAAAGCAAGCCAGTCCGCGGCGCAAGGCAGCAGCTGTGTCACATGACCAACCTCGCGCCCAGACCGCATCGTTAGCAACGTCATCGTCATCGTCCACCGAGCGAAAGTCGGCTGGCGATGGACGAGGGGTGCGCCGGAAAGCAGCGGCAGCGCCTCCATCCACACGCCAACCTAGGGCGAAGCGATCCTGTAGGCAGTGATCCTGTCGTGGGCACTTGAGGACTTGAGCTGAGTGACTTCGCACTTCGTGTTTATGCCATCTTCATGTCAACTGTATGTTCCAAAGGGACACATTTTTTTAAATAGGTTTGTGTTGCCATAGGAACGTGTCATTAATTTTATGATCATATAATATTATAGGTACCGGCTTTCAATTTGTTTCTTAGGCCAGCAGGGTGTTAAGATTTGATCATGGTGATGGTATGGTCTTGTTTACCAAGGACTGCCTTCAGTTCTAGTCCAGCTTCCACCACTGTGAACAGAGTCTGGATTGCTTGTCGGTGATGCACCGGGCACTGTGCAGAGCAATCGTTGTGCTGGTAGACATGACGCTCTGTGCCTGTTGTGTGAGGACTGCTGAACGGTGGATGCTGAACGGTGGATGCTGAACGGTGGATGCTGAACGGTGGATGCTGAACGGTGGATCATGCATGTCACCTGTACACTTTAAAACGTGTAAGAAAGAGTACATCTCCCCTAGAGTGTGCAGAACCCAGGGGCGTCGGACAAGGTGCGGTCACTACGGTATTGCCCGTACCACGTTCAGGTACCCGGTGAATCAATAAAATACACTGGTCTGGGATCTAAATTTCCAAAATGTTCGCCTCAGCCACCACCCCCCCCCCCCCCCCCCCACACACACACGAGTAATTTGCACTTCAGATGGCTGACCGTACCGCATTAACTTAAAATACCTTCCGACGCCCCTGCAACCTTTATACAGTTCTGCGCCGCAGAACGTCACATCACATGACGTCATGGTTCAATAGAATTACGCTGGCAAACAGTGCAACGTATCCACAAGAAAGTTGAACCCAGAGCAGGTTTAAATACAAGCCTGTACTTCGAAGTATCTATCATGCATAGGGTGCAAAAAAGGCGTTCAGGTTTGTCACGTGATGTGAAGTTCTGTCGTCGCAGATTGCATAGCTGGAGTTGCACACTCTTGGACGGTATTTACTCTTGATGCGAACAAGAGTGCAAAACTCCCGGCATGACTAGAACAAGACATAATGCACTTCACTTCTTGCATTGGAGTTGATTGCAGTGGAATCCAAACTTCTCTCGTCAGTGGTACGATTGTATTCCTCTGCCACCGAGTGATTCCAAAACAAAGAACCTGTGCAAAGGAGCAGACCTCCCAATTGAAACGTTTCTTCTTCTTCTTTTTTTAAATAGACCGGTGCAATGAGAAATACAACTTCAAAAATATGAATGGTAATGGTGGGATTCAAGGATGGGGTGGAAACCAGATATTTAGATATCAGAAAAATGAAAGATTTATTATCAAGAGAGTTCCGGCTTTCAATCTGAAGAACGAGTTGATTTCTAGCCTTGTATGTATGCCGGCATAACAGCGGCTTCACTGCTCGGCAGTTCTGAAGGTGTCCTATCCTGAGATGTGTGGCGCTGAACTGCGGTACACTCACAACATCGCTGTGCACGCTTGCCTTCTACAGAATCTTGACGTATTGTTTTCGATTTTCGCCTGACGATCGATTCAATTCGTGAAACTCAAGAGTTGCGGAATCGCAACTGATTGTCGATCTGTTTGCAAATCTTAACATAAAATGAGCGTGGACTGGAGGGAGTGTGTTGTGCTGTGAAGAAGCTCGCGCTGTGCGGGTATAATGATCACTCAAATCCAATGCCGAATGTCCGAAATCCCACAGCGTTCGTTTGGGTTTGTGGCCGAGCTGGGCGGGGTGCTGCAAACGTAGCTATTCCGGTCTTCGTGCAGAGGTGACGTGTAACATCATAGCATGGGGCTGCGTCCGTATACTTTGCTTCAATATGCAATTGCACAGTGTACATACACCGTCCCTGAAGCGTAGAGCACCGTTCACACTCTCAGTTTAGTCACAGTACGCGTGTCATGGCAGAGCGACTACGTGTATACTAGTCGGTATCATGGCAGAGCGACTATATCGGTCGGTACCAAGCCTTCATTTCACTATCCCATTTTTCAATCATACACGCTGCAGTGTAGAGCTCCCCCTCACACTCTCAGGTTAGTCACAATATGCGTGTCATGGCAGAGCGACAATATTGGTTGGTATCATGGCAGAGCCACTATACTTGTGGGTATCAGGCCTTCACTGCCGGTGTACGGATCGCTCGCCCAGATCCACTTCTTGCCCGCGGTCAGCTGATCGAGGGTCACCGCTGATTGGCTGTCGTCATGACCACCACCGTTGCCAGTGGTCGACTTGTGTCGCGTGAAGAGCCACTGCCCCTTTTGACATGGCAGTTGCCAATCACTACCGGCCGAGAAGGAGCGTCGGCAGACAAAGCGAATGCTCTGATTTGCCTGTGCATTCCCGGTCACGGTTTGCGGCGAGCGTCCGTCCGCGACGGGCTTTGTGGCGCCGGTCGTGTTTGTCGTTGTTAGCGGTGGCGTGAGCTCGCTGTCTGCATCGTGTTGGTCGGTGGCCACCGAGGAATCGCTGTGGCTCTTGACCGTTCTCATTACGCCTGTGCTTGCAGTGCCGCCGCCAGCACGCCGCCTTACTCCCGCTGACCTGCTGTGACGCACAGGTCGACCATAACCGCTGCCGCCAATGTTGCCATAACCATGACGCCCGTATCCATCACCACCACTGCCACCGCCATTTTTGTTTTCATAGTGACCATGGTGTGGTCCTGTCGTAGGCACGCCAAGCGAGTGCGAGGTGAGTTTCGAAATTGCGTAGCTGCAGTCCGCGATGCCCGTTGGTGGCTGTTTCTCTCCACCGCCTCCTCCCGTCCTATGCTTGTCCGGGCGCGTTGACGACATACTCCCCGGTGCTGGGCTGCTGACTGTGCCGGTAATGCCTGTGTTGTTACCCGCGGCAACGCGCCCGTGTTTTACGTTGCACGCCGTCAGGTTCATGTAGTGCGGCCTGGAGCCACCGCCGGAGCGATAGCGTGACAACGTGGACGGCTTGGCCGCATAGCCACCGTTGAACGACGGCAGAGCGTACTGCAGAGAGCTGCTGCCTGCGGCGGCGGCCATGCTGTTCGTGCCGCGTCCTAGCTGCGACGGTGTGCTGTTGTCCATGTCCATCATGCGTTGGTGGTGGTGGTGCTGGCCAGTGGTGTCCTGTACTGGCAGGCGGCGGCTGCAGAGCGCGCTGTGCATGTTGCGGTGCCGGTACTGCTGCTGGTGGCGCTGCGACGCCGACCGGCCCATGTCCAGCTCCATGATGCTCTGGCCAGTGCCCACGTTACCCTGCTGCTGCTGCTGCTGTTTGGACTTGCTCTTGGTGCTGGCCAGCTGCGTGTGCAACATTAGATTGGTCACGGAGAGGTAGTGAGGCCCGCTACTCTCGTGGGTCAATACACCAGCAACAGCAGCAGCAGTAGCCCCGGGTGTGCCATCGGCCTTTCTCGCACCAGCCGCATCCACGCCCGTGGCCATCGCAGCCGTAGCAAAAGCTGGAGTTCGCCGTCGCTGGTCCCCACCACCGCTTACACCACCACCAGCACCAGCGCCGCTGCCATAGCTACCACCAATGGTGGGAGCAGAGCAGGTACGCGGTGGCGCGGTACGCAGTACTATCGGCGGTGGGCACTGCATCAGCTCCTTCTCCTCGTTGCCGTCGTCACGGCGAGCGCTCAGCGAGAGCAAGCGCCGAAGCTCCGACAGCTGGCGGTTGCGCTCGATTGCGTTCAGGCGCGCCACCTGTTCCTGGTCCGTAGAGAAGTCCACCGAGACGGCATCGGTCGGCGTGGCGCTGCTGATTCGCGGTGCCATGGTAACCATGACGGACATCTCGCCCATGACGGGCGCCGCACCACCACCACCGCTATTCCTGACTGTGGTGTCTGACGCGCCGCTAGTGTCTCCATCGTCGTGGCGATGTCGTCGGCGAGGATCCAGCGACGCCGGCGACAGTACATCTGGACTGCTGTAGGACCGAGCACGAGGGTAGGCGGCACCGTCGCTGCCATGGCGACGACGTCTGCGCCGTGCACTGCACCACTCGTCGTACTCGGGCAGGAGCGCTTGGCGAGAGTTTGCGCTGGAGTCGAACGCCGCTTTCAGGCTGTCGTTGCGATGCAGCGTGCTGCACGTGCTGATCTGCGATGCTTGCGACGAGTGTTGTCCGGACGCAAGAGTGCTTGCCGACGTCTCCCTCAGCTTGCCACCGCCAGTGGCTATATTCCCTACAGCGCCAACCACACCACCTTCCAGACAATTAGCAGCGTCCGCTGTGTAGAAGCAGTTCTCCTGTTGCTGCGTTTGAGGTGGCGCGGGCCGCTCCAGCTGTCTGCAAGCTTCACTGGGTACGAAACCCTGGCTGCCATGGCGATCCTCCACCCACAGCCACGACTTCTGGTTGCGCATCACTTCAATGACGTCATCGCGTCGCACACTCATCTCGTCGGGCAGCTGTGCTGTGAAGTCGCTGACGACGACAGCACGGTCGCCGCTGGCGAGTGTGTTATCCGCGTCATGGCAACTGCGATCGTGATCCTGTCTGGCGGTGCTGCGTACGCTCACGCGATGCGAGCGGAACCACTGCGCGTAGACAGTGTCGTCGGCGGCGACACCCTCGGTCTGTGCTAGCTGGGGTTTCTGCTCCGAGTGTCCCGTCACCGCCACCGCCACCGCGGGCATCATCACACTAGATTTTGCAGGCCTTGCTGTCTCCGTGACCGCATGGATATTCGGCGGACCGGTTGGAGTGACCTGGGCTGACGCCGAGCTCTCCTCGCCGGAATCGCAGCCACTGTCCGATAGGTTGGACTTTGCCAGCGCGGCCGAGTGCCCCGAGTCATTCCGTGCATGCAGCTGCTGCTGCTGCAAACGTGGCTTCGGTCGGTGTACGTAAGAGCCACCGGGGGGATTCCCCTCGGACACTCCAGAGTCGGGCGTGGTCCGGATCATGCCATGGTCCGGGTCATGGATGTTCTCACGTGATCTGAATTGTTCTCCACCATGTTGCGGCCGATCACAGGTTCTGGTTGCCGCTGTGTTGGCGTGGGAACGATGACGCGGCGAGCCACGCAGGTTGACAATGAACAGCTTGTCCTGACCCGCGGCGCTCATTACCGACGGCGAGGGGGTCTGGGCGGCGCGGGATTTCCCCACCGCTCGGATGAACTGCACCGGCAGTGTTTTTGATCTCTTCAGCGTGCTGCCTGGTGGGTCCAGTTCTGCGGTGCTGCTCTGTGGACGTGACATAAGGTCCACAAGGGTGTACGCACCGATGGACGCATCATCATCATCATGTTCGTCGTCATCGTCGTAGTCGTAGTCCTCACTGCGGTAGTCCGGCTCATGATTCTCTCCAAATTCGTAGTCGTGTGGCGTGGTCGTGCCACATCTCCACGGGTAGGCGTCAGTGCTGCGCACCGTGGCGTATGCGTCGGAGCTCTGCGAATTGCCCATCCTGGCTGGCACTGTACATGGGCAAACAGACACACGTACAAGCCACACACACACACACACACACGCACGCATGAGCGCGCGTGCACACACACACACACACACACATGATAGCATGCACACACCACGCACGCACAACGGGAGCATCACAGCATGGTATGAAGTGGCACGATCTGAATCAATCTGAGGCAAGACAATGCATGAGGGTAGGGATAACCTTCCCATGATAATTATTGTATTGAAGTACTGTAGATCTACATGCACGAGGCCCTGCACGAGCGTAACAGGTAGGCTTTCCATGATCACTCACATCCATGTCTTCTTCAAAACGCGAACAGTTTCTTCTACACTGTGGTGTCTCACACGGAAGCGTTAAAAATCATGAGATCTATTATGGCGCTACTGACTCTCCCCACCCCCCCCCCCCCCCCCCCCCGCTACAGTACCCGTAAAAGTACAAGCAACCACGACTGTGCAAGGACAGGTTGATCAGGTAGGTACTAGTATCCAGGCGGCAGCAGGTGCACAGCCTAGCCTGCTTAGCTCTTGCACTGAATCGGGACATGCTTCAGTTCACGCAGCAAGAACCGCAGCAGATCAGCAGAGTGCAGTGCAGCTGTTCGGTCGCACGTACTCGCTGTGTGTTGGAGCTGCGTTGGAACTACTTTGAACAGAACTGGCGGACTAGGAATTGATCGTTGGCCGGTCGTTCCAGGAGCCACTGTCGTTTCCTGGCGTGCTATTCGGCCTACGATCTACCTCACCAAGCGGGATGATGCCCACGGTGGCTTCTCTGCTGCTAGCTTGTGGAAACAAACGTACACTGTGCGCGTTAAAGTAACTTAGTTCCCAGGGGCTGCTTTTATAAGTTACTGCTGACTGCTGTACGACTCTACGAGCCTGTGTCAGTGTGTGTGTGACGTGTGGACACGTACACCATGTACACGGTACAGTTCTGCTCGATCAAATCCGATCACGTGGACCAAGTAAACCCCTGCGACTGCTCACATCACTGTGTTCGCAGGTCTAGGGATGTACAGCGCTCGGCGTGGCATTGACTCGCTGGGTCGGATTTCGTCTTACAGCAATGCATCAGCACAGACGTGATCGACCACGGAGTCTAGGCACCTGCGCAAGCAAGGACTTTGGTCAGTCCCCAACAATATGCCACACACAACTAAACAAGCAGTGGCCGGCCCCGGCTGTAGCACCTATCCACACACATAGCCTTCACATTAGTATTACATTCACACATGCACATTCGCCTGTACAATATGCCTATGGTGAAAAGCTGCATGCACGATCACATTCAGCCTGCACGGCCAATGAGCATGGATCATCCCCGTACCGTAGCAAGCGTTGAACTGTGAGACGAGACTCGTCAGCTGGCGACTCGGTCGTCCCATATCGCACCGCGCGCGCCGTGATCGCTTCCATCCACTTGTCCACAATGGTCCAGGACGCTTGGACCACACACATAACCGCTATGATTTTATAAACGGTACTGACAGGGTTTCTCTCGCCCCATTCCTACGATATACGCGATACTGCAGCACCGCATTCCTGCGCTGATCCTTGACGGGATGCAACGCCGTCAAGAATGCATTGTTGCCACTTCCGACACCCGACCCGTAAGCGTTTCCTCGGCGCGGCGCAGAAACCTCCGACTACTGTTCCGAGCACACCCGTCAACTTCGGCGTTCTTGGAGCTTGGCTAATCGAAAGAATTGCTGATCGAAAGAATGACTGGTCGTCTTGATCGGCGGCAGATGCTGCGCTGATTTGCTCTGTTTTTAGTAGGCCTGTGATCATGGCGATAGCACTAGTGACCAGATTATGATCCATTTTCGGCACCTCTCTCGCGATAAGAGGAAGGGGGATTCCCCCCAGCAGGCGACGCTATCGTAGTGCAGAGTTCAGTCACAGTGCAACGCAGCAAACACTCCGAATATGGGTTGTGGCGGCACAATTAACCAACCAACAATTCGAACCATCTCCGGTCTCCGTCAGTAAGCTAGCGCTCACTGTATTTCCCAGCGATCAGAAACTACAACATCGTTGTCTGTTTCTCATCTACCCAGTTCCTGTACTCAGAGTCGGAGCAAGCGAGAAGTGCTGCTTCTCATAATGCATGCGGATAAAGTTGAAAACCTTTACCGGGTATACCCGCGATCAGTCAAGTCTCCGATCCTTAGCTAACGGGTGGTTACAAGTGCATGACTAAAATGCTGACAAATGGCCATTGACATTGGGCTTAATATGTGGCAGTTCTGTGAGTCACACATGCGCTTGAGCACAAGGAACGTCGGTGGAATTAAGCTGCAACCCATCGCTGTCAACCGCTCTTGCAGCCGTTCTAGCGCTGAATCTGACGCGGCTCTGCGTTCCAAAAACACATGACACTGCATCAACAACGCATGGTGCTCACTGCTCAGTGAGCGTTTCAGCTTGTGTTTGCATTCCACCCGCTCTCCTATCCGATCAGCAAGTCCCCAGTACTTCCAAATGCTCGTATGGCGATCTGTGACAGGACATCTGGGGTGAAGGGTAACTTAGTTAGGCGTGGTACAAACCTCATAGCTTACGATTTTGACGCTCCGACACACGTACATAGAATGACTGTCCCGAATAGAGCGCAATGCAGATGAAGGAACGATTCGTAGCAGCGGAAGTCCTGATGAAATTAGGCCCCACAGCTATTTCGCCCGTGGGCTTACAGCTTCGAAGTACAAAGTACAATGTACACACACACAAACGTCGTGTACGAGTAACGATATACCTCAGAAATATAGTTGCCAGACTACGACTTATCCACTTTTAAAAAGGGGCTTCATTGGGATAATGACACAGCGGTGCAGTTCTGAAAATGACCTCGCGGCTACTAATGACCAGGAAGCAGAGAAATGAACGAAAGCGTGGAGGACAGAGAAAGAGCGTTAGATTAATTTCCTGGGCTCCAGCGACGCATGGAGATCACAGCAGCCTGATTGCATCCTCTCGCCCTCAATCGCAGGATGACGAATTCCTTCCCCCCAGCTAGTCCTAGAGCGCCTGCGGATGTGCAGCGGAAGATTCTATTCCGCTGGAGGACGGCATTCAACCCGTCGTATACGAACTGGCGTAGCACCTTCATGTGAATGTATTCGCGGCGTAGCACCTTCATGTGAATGTATTCGCGGCGTAGCACCTTCATGTGAATGTATTCGCGGCGTAGCACCTTCATGTGAATGTATTCGCAACTTGAAGATGTAATCACAACTTTCCATTAAGTTAACCCTGCCAAAAATCAACTAACATCCTGTCTGGTTGTAGTTAAATCCGAGAACAGGATTTAGCAAGGTTAGGAGAAAGGACCAAGGAACTACAAGTTACGCGGTAATGTCCACTAACACTTGACAATCAGCTCATGCGATCCTTTTTCTTTACTATAAATTAATCATTGGCTCTCCATCCGAGTCTATTAGTAAGGTGTATTCGCAATAGCGGATCACCGCTAGTTTGCTGCAACTCCGACTTATATTCGCAATAGCGGATCACCGCTAGTTTGCTGCAACTCCGACTTATATTCGCAATAGCGGATCACCGCTAGTTTGCTGCAACTCCGACTTATATGCTTCGTGCAGTCATCACGCAATCACGCACTCTTAAAACCCGGATGACTCTCAGCTGCAAACTGTGCGGATCCATCAGTGTATTGTCACTCTACATCTGCTCATCTCCCATGCAGCGGGCAGGTACCATTGAACCTCATGTTACTGTACCTCACTTCATCACAGTGACTCTGTTCCGGAAACACTGTCTGTGCCAATTGCCATGCAGCAGTGGTGATGCACACGAGAGAGCACTAATGTCTACTTCTAAATTCACAGGGAAAGAAGAGTAGATAACACCGTTCAAGGTCCCTTTTCTCTCCCTCACTTGCTCCTGCTCCTCTCTCTCTCTCTCTCTCTCTCTCTCTCTCTCTCTCTCTCTCTCTCTCTCTCTCTCTCTCTCTCTCTCTCTCTCTCTCTCTCTCTCTCTCTCTCTCTCTCTCTCTCTCTCTCTCTCTCTCTCTCTCTCTCTCTCTCTCTCTCTCTCTCTCTCTCTCTCTCTCTCTCTCTCTCTCTCTCTCTCTCTCTCTCTCTCTCTCTCTCTCTCTCTCTCTCTCTCTCTCTCTCTCTCTCTCTCTCTCTCTCTCTCTCTCTCTCCGTCACTTTTTTAGTACAGGGCTGTGTACCCAAGTGTATGTAACGTGCCATTGAGCTACTACACCTTGCTCCAAGTGTGTGGCATTTACCTGCATAAACTTTCGAGAAAGTGCATCAGTAGGATCTCAGTAGCTACATGTACGTACAATGCAATACAACAACACTGGCTGGTTGGTGGCGAACGCCCAGCACGAGACCCTTTCTAACAGTAACAGTACAGTGTTCATGGAAGCTTGGGCTAGAGTGTGGACTGCCGACTAGGGGTTTGTTTGTTTGATTTACTTCGCCAGATACACAGTTCACAGTTCGTGTTTAAGGATATTTTGAGATAATTCTTTGTTGCCTATTCTGCAGTTGCATGCTTATTAGCACCTCATTGACCCCGCTCCTTGCTCATTTCGTTTGGCCTAAGCGAAACCTAATCATGCTTGCTTGATGATGTCAACGCGAAAAGGCTCATAATAACAATAAAATACACATGTATTTCTGGCTTCTCGTCTACCCATGATTATGGCTAGACTCTCAATAAAGGATGAAGAAGGGTTCAAGGAAACCAGGGTTACTCAAGAGTCGGTCATTTGTAGTTTTTTTTACGGTTGGCCACTGTCGCCATAAGAACATACATGTATGACAGCCGCGCATGTCAGTACGTATAAAACGACAATCGTGGCTCAGGCAAATGTGTCCTCATGAACAGAAGCGGCATTCCCTTTGTGTTGGAGAATGCATCAATTGCTCTCTTCATGCTAAATGTGTGTGTGTGTGCGTGAGTGTGTGTTCGTGTTTGTTTGTTTGTGTGTGCGTAAGTGTGTGTTCATCTGTTGGTTATAGAGAGATCGCGAGTGAGCAATTGAGAGAACCAGGAAGAGAAAGGGAAAGAAAGAGAAAGAGTGAGAGAGAGAGAGAGAGAGAGAGAGAGAGAGAGAGAGAGAGAGAGAGAGAGAGAGAGAGAGAGAGAGAGAGAGAGAGAGAGAGAGAGAGAGAGAGAAAAGAGAAATAGAACGAGATCGTGAATGAGAGACGGAGAGTGAAAGAAGGAGAAGGGAGAGGGAAAGAGAAGATAGCGACAGAGAGGGAAGGAAAGGGAAAGAGAGCGCAAGAGCCATGTTCAAGTTTAACACGTTTCTAATGTCTCTTTAACGTTAATAGGACGTGATGCAAACTGCGGTGGACCAGATTGAAAGTGTAGTTTCACTTACCAGTCCCTGTCCGCCACGATGTAACAGGAAGTTGTAGACTGTCTTCATTCACTCACAGACACAGGTATAACCACCAACATCAGCTGGTTCCATACACAGTCCTTTTCCGTTAGTTCCGTCAGCCACTGTGATGGTCGGCTGGGTACACGACACTACTAAACCACTAAACCACTCTACTCTAAACGCACACGCACTGCTATAGCCGTACAAGGAAGTAGTGGGTGGCGAGACGAAGTAACGCTGCCACAGCTCGCGGTGAAACTGATGTCTTTCCTCCTAGCTACTTTGGAGCAGTCAGCCTCACGAACTGAGGCCAGGCGTTTGTCTACCTCGCTCTATACACACCGCCTCAGAAACATCACATCAGCAGGTTAGCAGCCACTGCCTCTACCGAGCCGAGGGAGAACAACACAAACGGCTATCGAACTGGTTAGCACGGCCATTGCCCGTGGCACTAGCTTTTACAGTAGCAGATCTCCTGCCGTTCGTGCTACTAGTTTAGCTGCATGCAGGCAACACTGATAGTTTCGTGGTGGTGGTCGAGTCGCATTCAGCGCTCCATCGACTCGTGTGACCAGCACTTAGTTTCTTACACGGACTGCAGGAAAACAACACGATCTTGTCTCGATGGTAGGTAGGCACGGTCGCTCAACCTTGCCACTCAATAAACATGACTCGAGATGTGCAGTTAGGCCCGTAGATCTACATGTACGTGGCAGTGTAGGTGAGAACGGCTGTGCCATGCATGCGCAGCACCATACCATTGCACTCAGCCTTTACGCGGGGATGCGCTTTCTCACACCCGACAGATAGCTGTGCGGGGCGACGGTTGCTAAAATGCCACCGTTCTGGACAGTGCATGGCGGTCGCTACCATGATCTTATTATTATGGCACAGGTTTACAATCATGCTAAATCTTACTATCCTTAGCCTTGTGCTGTCCAATACTACCGCGGATACCCCCACAGTCTGGAGCAGTGGAGGCTAGGCATAGCGGCACACATGTAGGTCCCGTTTGAGCCATCTGTGTGCTAATGCCACTACTAGGTCAAGTGCATGCACATGTACATCATAGTCATTGTAATTTGTACCTACTATAAACTGGCAGTCCGTTCTATGTTGGACATGGCTTGGTGGGCCACCTGGGCGGTGCGTGCCAGACGCATCGACATGTACGTAGATCTACGGCGAGCGGCTCGACAGACTGTCACTGTGTCAGCGCGTTCCTCGCATCCCAAAGCCAGGCGCTAGGCCAGGGTTCAAAGTGCACGTTGAACTGGCGCGCGTGCTGCCATGGTAGATGTCATGACGTCACACCACAGCACGTACATTGTACATGTTGGTAACGGCTTACATGGTGTAGTGTGGTGTAGTGGTGGCTGGGGGGATTTTGGTTGGACAGCATGTAGACTTGTAGTGGTGTGGTGATGGGATGCAAGCAAGGTATGAAAAGGTCAGGATGGCCTGGCTATTTGCAGTAGCGAAGCGGTGGAATGCACGGCCAAGGGTAGGTAGATAAGGTCGTAGCAACAGGAACTTGCCCCCTAACTGAGATAGGAGAAATGTCACTACTTGCATCTTTGTCATCGTATATAGTGCTGGGAGACCCTTAATTTAATGGAATGGCGTGTCGAACGAATTATTCACTTGTGCGTCTTATTCGTACACCCGCTAACCGCCAGGGAGAAAGCACTCACGGAGCCCCCCCCCCCCCCTTCCCCTCTCGCTCTAACAAAGCGGGACACTAGTCGGCGAAGTCAAGCGCGTCTAAAAGGTAGCTAAATTTAGCGCGCGCAGGACCTGGTACATCCATAAAACCAGCGCCGGGAAATTTCAGGCAGTTTCTGAAGTGGACGCATCTGCTCAAGTCGACACGCCACTGATCCACGCCACTTGGAATTGATAAAAACATGCGAGCGCAGACAATGGCACTGAAGCCTCAATGCGACAATGGCGCGCTAAAAGGATCAATCGCAGCTCGAGCGCTCACACTGTGCAGTGAAAGTGAGGCCGAGGGAGAGCTTCAGGATACGTTTGTCGCTCGACGATGCCTGGAGAATACGAACAGCAGTACATGTACCACGGCTTGCGCTGTCTCTTTGACCTACAATGGACATGTATGTGCTAAAAGGCCTTGTTCCGTGAAGTGGTTCCTCCACAGCAGCTTGCTTTCTTTCATTTCAGCCAGTGTGGCTACTGTACATTGACTGCTCGTCATCTTGTGGGTGAGACACGGGGAAGCTGCCAATGCTCCATTCGCTCACTTCTCTGAGTGATATCACACCTACAATGACTTTGGCTTGCACTCATGACGTGAAAACAGGTAGATACATGTACATGTACATGTACATCCTTTTCTTCTCAGTATTCTCGCTCGCATAGTACTCCACTTGTTGTTGTAGTTGTAGAAGTTTATTTAACGTCGCACCACAAACAGGCGATTTCGCCTCCTTTGATACATGTGGACGACAGAAGGAATGAGAGAGAGGGGGGGGGGGGGCAGAAGTATGGAGAGAGGAAGGGTAGAAATAAATAAGCAATCAACCTCAGGGCTACACCAAAGCAAAAATGGAATGGGAACATACTATATACAAAATAGCTTCATACATATATTGCAAAACACGTTTACTATTCTTCAGTCCGCTATACCACAGAAACACACTAGCCGAAAAGCATTTAAACGGAGCCATGATGCGCTTTTAGCAGGGCACAGAACTGAAGGTGGCTGGGCTCGGAACGGAGATCAGGCGGGAGCTGGTTCCACAAGACTGCGCCGATGAACTGCATGGTCGCTCGACCCGCAGGACCGGACACTTCTATGATAATATTGCCTATGCTGTTGCTCATTAGGATTTTGGCAAATTCTATCCTTCGCTTTCATATAACTGGGCCAGGAACCCGTTTGAACTTGCGAAGTAAAATAAAATCAATCAATCAATCACATGTACAGTGCTGGAAACTGAAATCCGACCCCCTTGGCGGCGCGCCG